ATCTTATTAAACTCTTAAATTCATGACCTGTAAAATGATAATTTATTTTCAAAGTTTCGCTCGCATTTGCACTCGAAAAAAATGATGATGGCCAACATTTGGTACTTATTTCAACACTCGCACTACCGTCACCAAGCCTGCCTGCCTGACTCGTTAAAAATGACATACAACTTTTTACAAAAAAAGCAAAAAAACCGAACAAAATGAACATGAATCTGCATGAATTATGATTTTTAACTTTTTTTCCGGTCTTCGAAAAGAAAAAGGTCAGAGCAAAAGCGTAAAATTACTATTCCACAGCATAGAGCAATGGCAGGGACCGCAGCTGTCTTCATCACGAAAATGGTACAATTAATCATTGTTAATGGCTCCATGGTAGGGGTTCTTCGTCCTAACAAAAATATATTAAGCCAATTTACATTCATTAGATGGTTTCTTAATTATCCTTAAGGTGGGGGTGTGCGGGATCAGCCGGAGGAGCTCTCTGCAGAGATTTGGCTATTTTACATTCTAGTTGGCTATTTAGCCGAAAGGAATTTTAAGTGACAAACATGCAAGTCCTGTTGATTAACATGCCTCGGCTTAATGTCCATCAGCTCCTTTGAAGTTAACAGCGTGTGACCTAGGCCCATCTTGCCCGTGTAATGGTAAATGTTATTCAATTTTCAGATTCACATTACCGTAACTCTTAATTAGCTCTCATCACCAACTACCATAGATGTCTTATCAAACCTCCTCCGCCACCTACTGCAATACACAAATGGCCTCATCCACAAATATCCGAAATAGTCGTCATTAATTTTCATAGAACTGGAGATGAATGTGTCTCATGGCTCATGCCAATTTTCGGAGAATTAACACTTCCGAATAATTTGTCTGGTCTTTGTACATTTTTCTATATTTATTGTTGTTGTTGACGATGTTGTTGTTCCTTTTGTTGTAGTTGTGTACTTCTTAAGCATCCATAATAAATCACTTTTGTCTTCGATTTTCACTTGAGAATAATTGAAATAACTAATCAGATTAAGAGCTCAAGGAGATGATAATGAATATCATTTGTTTATTAATTTCTATGCAATTTGTTAAAACACAAAAGGTTAAATTGTTTAAACACACACACTCACATATATACATAGACAAAGTTCAATAAATTATTAATTAGCTCAATAAACTTAATAATTTGAATAGTTTGTTATTGTGTGGTTTTCATAATGGTATTGTACTGTACTGTACTGTACTGAAAATTTATTGAAACCTGGTTTCGTTTCTGTATACCCTTCACCATACACAGTATGGAGGGTATATTAAACTCGTCATTCCGTTTATAACTCATCGAAATAATAATTTTGAACCTATTATTGATCAGCGTAAAATTCTAAGATGATTTATCCACTTAATCACGTTAGAGTCAAAACGAATAAAGATGGGAAGCTGAAATTTTGCACAGATCAGTTTTTTGTCCGCAGGCAAGTCAAGTTCGAAGATGGCCTATATCGGTCCACGATGTCGTATAGCCCCATATATTCGGTATTTTGATGATTTTATGCAAATTTTTCAATGGAAATATCTGAAAACCAACCAAAGGAGTTCTTTCTTTGTACTTTACACCCTGGAAGAGAGTTGTTTATATAGGTCAACGATATCGTATAGCCCCCATACAACGGTATATCGTATACCCCCCGATATTCGGAATTTTGATGATTTTAGCCAAATTTTTCAATGGAATTGTCTGAACAACACACAGGAAGTTCCTTCTGAATACTTTACCCTCTGAAAGAGAATTGTCTATATAGGTCCACGATATAACATAGCCCCCATATAACGGTACCCACCCGATATTCGGTATTTTGAAGATTTTAGCCACATTTTTCAACGGAATTCTACACAAGGATTTTTAATGGATTTTATTTTTTTTTTTAAATTTCCTGATTCGTTCCAAATGGTGGAGGGTATTCAAAGTTCGGTCCGGCCGAACTTACTGCTTTTTTAATTCTTTATAATGGTATTGTTTAAGCATTGTTTATTGAAAATCGGTTTCGTGTTTTTTTGTTGCAAAAGGAACACCTCAGACACCAAACTTATTTATTTATTTATTTTTTTTTTTTTTTGAGAAAACAAGTGAAGACGCACTAATTTTGGTCGGGCCGAATTTTGAATACCTTCTGCCATTTAAAAAATACTTTTAAAATCACAACAACACAAAATATAGGAAGTTACCCTTATTTTGAAGCCTATCCGAAGACGTGGACCTGTAAATGCAATTTTTGTCATAGGCCATTACGATATTCAAATGCGAACCATGAAACAATTTTCTGTCATAGGCTGTAGTATCTATTAGAAACTTCAAATATAATGTCGCTAAAATCATCAAAGTACCAAATATAGGGAGGGGGGCTATTCGAAGACGTTATATGGGGACTATTCGAAGACGTTATATAGGGGCTATTCGAAGACCTGGACCTGCATATGCAATTGTTATACCCTCAGCCATATGGCTACAGAAAGGATATATCATGTGATACGTTCAAAACGTGTCTCATTGAAAAAACGGTTTTAGACCAAAATCCGTTTCAGGACATTTTGAGTCGATCTAGGGGTCGATTCATCCTTCCGTCCGTCTGGCTGGTGCGCCCGATAACTTTCGAAGGAAGTATCCGATTTGATCCAAATTTGGTACAACGTAATATTATTTTCAAATTTAGAACGAGTTCGGAGATGGGCAATATCGGTCCACTACTTCTGGTACCTCCCCCCACAAATGTCAAAATTCTAAAAGAAAATTATTTAACTCATAGAAAGAAAAAGGATTACGTTCAAACTTGATGAATCCTAATAATTGCATCAATGTTAGGTCAGATGCGAAAATGGACAATATCGGTCCACTCCATCAAGTACCTCCCCCACAAAGGGTAAAACATTTGGAATAATATAACTCTTATAATATGCAATTGATCTTACACACATCACAATATTTTTATAAACTCAAGGTCGGGTGTGAAGATGGAATATATCGGTATACGTCTTCTGGTACCTGCCCCACAAAGGGACACCATTTTGAATAAACAAAGGGATCATAAAATCCGAAATACGCATCCGGTTATCTTCAAATTACACACATCACAATATAATTATTAACCCAAGGTCTGGTGTGAAGATGGACTATATCGGCTCACTCCGTCTGGTACCTCCCCCACAAAGCGTCAATATTTTGAATATTAATGAAGCTCATAAAACGCGAAATTAACATCCGATTCCATTCAGACTTGGTACATCACAATATTTCCATCAACACAACATCTGTCATTAAGATGGTAGAGATCCGGCCATTTCTTATGGTACGTCCCCCACAAAGGTAAAAGTTTTGAATAAACAAAAGCGTCATAAAATCCGAAAAAAGCATCCGATTCTTTTCAAATTTCACACATCATATTCAAATTTTGAATATTCATGAAGCTCATTAAACGCGAAACTAATATCCGACTTTATTCAGACTAGGTATATCTCAACATTTCCATTAACACAAAATTTGTCATAAAGATAGTAGAGATCGGACCATTTCTTCTAGTACCTTCCCCACAAAGGGTTCAAGATTTTGAGAAACAAACCCCTCAAAGAAAGAAAGCGAAATAGGCATCCAACTCTCTTTAAATATCACAGATACAAATAATTTTGCTAACGCACGATCTGTTCTGAAGATGATATATGTATATCTGCTAACCCCGTCTGGTACCTGACCCACAAAGGGTCAAAATTTCCAATACTTATATCTGTCACTACTTTCTCGTAACCAGAAATCTGATATATGTATATGTAATTTATCGGAAGTTATGATTTCTCATAAAATCTCAGATAAAGTATAGGAAGTAGTCGATTTAGTTCAAATCTGGCACTTTGTAATATTTTTATCAATCTTAAGTCAGATACGAATTGGTCAATATTGTCCAACTGCTTTGGAACCTCCTCCATAAAGAGTCAACAGTTTGAATAATCATAGCTCAAGGCTGGGGGTATACATCTATCGGCAAAACTGACTTATACTATTTTACTTGTTTAGCTCTATGTACTTTCATAATTTCATGGATTTTCCCCGCAATTATTGAAAAAAATTGGCGCATAGTGTAATTTACTTGATTTTCCATGTCACTATATTTTATGTTGCACAGTGTAATATTACGATGTACCAAGTTTGAATAAATACTCCCTTCGGATGGATACTACTTTCGAGAGATATCGTGCGCATCAGCCAGACAGACAAAACCTGCTAGATCGACTCTAAATGTTCTGAAATCAATTTCGACCTAAGAGAATTAGGATCGAAAATCGTTATTTCAATGAGGCACGTTTGGGCCTATGACCATATGATTGAGGGTATACATAATAAAATATAAATAATAATTTTATTTATTATTAGTAATGTTTATATATTTAGGAAGTTATTGGCATTTATTTTAATTATGAAGGCTCATTAAAATATAAACACCCATTCTTTGACGTACGAATATTTTTACGTTGGAACTTAAAAAAATTCACCAAAAAAGATATTTCCTAGTAGCCTTAACTCACTTTTTCAATTAAAAAACTTCATTAATTTTCTTTTACTGGATTTTGCATTCAGTAAAAACTCTTCAAATTGGTATACATATATTTCTCAAAAGGTAAAAATAATCATTTAATTTACAATATTATGCAAATTTAATCAGTAGCTCTTTTTATGCAAATCTTCCATTATTTTTCTGTACACGCTTTGTCTCAAATGATTTAATTTCTACTCAATATTGAGGTTGAGTGATTCAATCACCTGCAACCCAGAGGCAATGTACGTTTCGTTTTCTTTTAGGCGTCACAATAAATTAAACTACATACGTACGAGTACATATATACACACATACATAAACATGTTATTGGTGTTGTAACAACCCCATTGTGGTTACAGATAAGCGGGGGTCGTCCGTAGCTCATTGTTCGGGAACTTAATCATACAGATACAAAATCGAAAAATATACATTTTTTTAAATTTTAAAATAAGCTTTATTTATGACATTTTTGTAAAAAAGATGACTATAATTAATATATATATAATAGGTACAATTATAAATTTGTATATAAATTTGAAATACCTATAAAATACTTGTTTTTGTTTTTCATGTAATTTGGCTAATGGCGAATAGCATTGTCGAATGGGCAACAACACATGTTTTTTTAGATGTAATTTTTTTTTTGTTTAAGATTAATTATAAGATCTAATATAAAAGCGATTGTTCTTAAATTGTTTTTGTTTTCGTTTTCGTTTTTTTAAGCAAAGAGGAAGGAAATATGTGTGTAGAAGTGCAGTGAAAGGGAATTTGGTAGGTGTAGGTGCAGGTCAAATGCAATAGATAGTATTTTGAAATATTTAAATGCGGAAATTTTGTGCAGGCCAATAAACATAAGTAAATGTTGTTCTCGCTTAAGTCATCAGATATTTTATAATGTGAAAGAATATAAAATTTGAGTGACCTTGTTCAGATTCGGGTTTGGAATTCCCTTTAATTTCTTTAATTTTTACTGTCAGTCGATGACTTAAGTCTCTTATGTATTTCGGCCTTTAAAGCTATTTTATATTGAACAAATTTTGTTGATTAATTTAAAGCTTACATTTTGGCAGTAGATTGAGCAAACAACAACAACATACGAATTATAACAAATTTTCAATAACATACAAGAGAGATTTTTACATATTTTTAAGTCAAAATTTATATGTGTAGTGATCTAGTCCAGAGAATGTGATCAAGTGGGTGTTCTAATCAAAACTCAGAGCTAGTACTGAACAATTTGGGTTTTGATATGGAAAAGGCATCGGGGTTTCTACCAATAAAAAGGACAACTTCAAAGCAAGAGGTCCAGGTTTGTCCCATTAAATTTGAGCGATTTTTTGGAGTTTATATTAAGCATGTGAGGGCCTTTAACACCAAATCGGATGAAACATATATTTGGGAGCTATAGCTATACCTGAACCGATTTTCACAAATTTTGAAGAATTTGTTTCTAGGACTAATTCGGTCGGATGTGCAAAAATTCAGGTCATTTGGACAGATATTGACCATTTGGTGCACCAAAACCCTGAAATTGTATAACGATATATGTATGGGAGCTATATTCAAATCTAAACCAATCTTGACAAAATTTTAAACACTTATTTCTGAGCTGTATCCGATATCTAGTAACAACGATTATTGTTGTGGGGTGTATGTAACGCATGTAAGGCACTTAAAATCCCAATTCGGATGAAACATATGTATGGGAGCTATAGCTATATCTGAACCGAATTTCACCAAATTTGAAGTACTTGTTTCTAGGACGAATTCGGTCGGATGTGCCAAAATTCAGTCCATTTGGGCTGATATTAACAATTGGTGCACAATAAAGCTGATATCGGATAAAGATATATATAAGAGCTATATCCAAATCTAAACCGATCCAGACAAAATGTTAAACACTTATTTCTGAGCTGTATCTGATATCTGGTACCAACGATTATTGTTGTAGAGTGCATATTAAACATTTGAGGGTCTTTGGGAGCTACAGCTATATCTGAACCGATTTTCACCAAAATTTAAAGTACTTGTTTCTAAGACGAATTCAGGTGGAATTGCCAAATTTAGTTCATTTGGGCTGATATTAGCAATTTGGTGTATAAAACCCTGAAATCGGATAAAGATTTATATATGGGAGGTATGTGCAAATCGGAACCGATCTAGACAAAATTATAAACACTTATTTCTGAGCTGTATCTGAAATCTGGTACCAAAGATTATTGTTGTGGGGTGTATTTTACGCATGTGAGGGACTAAAATATCTGAACCGATTTTCAACAAATTTGAAGTAATTTTTTCTAGGACGAATTCAGTCGGAATTGCCAAGATTTACTACATTTGGGCTGATATTAGCAATTTTGTGTGTAAAACCTTGAAATCGGATAACGATATATACATGGGAGCTATATCCAAATTAAAACCGATCCTGACAAAATTTTAAACACTTATTTCTGAGCTGTATCTGATATCTGGTACAAATTATTTTTGTTGTGCGGTATATATTACGCATGTGAGGGACTGAAAATCCCAAATGGGTTGAAGATATATATGGGAGCTATATCTAGATTTCAAGCGATCCACACCAATTTCAATTGGGTTCGTCCTTGGGTTAAACAAATATTGTTTGGAAAATGTCCTCTCAAACGGATAATAAAAGCGACCTGCATTTTATTTACAAAAATACACGTACGGACTGACATAAATCCACTCAGAAAGTAATCCAAGAAGATCCTCAAAAGTAACTATGGGTCTATCTCTCTTCCTTCTCCATGTTACAAACAAATGCCCAACGACATAATACCATGATAGTGGTCAGGGTATAAAAATAGGGTAGGGTATAAAAATAGATTTTCCATAGAATTTGAATACGATTTTGAAAATTTTAATTGTTTCCATTTTAATAAAGAATTTAACTAACTGGACTAAATCACCACACATCGCAAATTTTGTTAACTCATAAACTTCTTGTACTACTCCAGAATAAAAATTCCCTGCCTTCATTTCCTTCTCCCCTCTCCTTCTTATAGCTATCGATAAAAGCTTTTTGTATTTAATTCGTTTTTTCTTATTTCATTTCCGATTTATGACTAAATATCTTCTACATCATCATCGTCATCCGTTATAATGGTCCGCACTTCCTCTTGTCAGTTAAGTAAATCTCCTCCATAGACTTGTATTAAGGCAATATTACTATCAACGGGGAAATCATGATGATTTACATTGAATTCATTCAGGTAGACTGCACCCAAGTAGGCGGTGTCGCGAGCCTCTGGCGTTTTACGATACAGAACACCAATATCTTTGACCTGTATGCCACCATCAAACTCCACCACATAATAGCGAACGCGCCAACCATTGGCCTGGAAATCCGGGAAGGCCATATCCTTTGGTATCTGTGGACATTCCAATGGACCACTCAAAAGCTCATTGTATTTGGGCTTAAACGGTGACACATAACAGCGTCCTCGCTGTAAACTCACTGTATCGTAGTAATCTCCCAAAAACAAATAACAATCACGGGCATTATTGCTGGTACAAAAACGCAGAATACAATCGAATTCACCATCCTGGGGGCTGAGTTTGTAGGCATAGGCAAATACCAAACCACCGCCGGGAAGTTTAAAATCGGTGGCAAACAAACGAAAACTGCTGTCACACTGGCTAATGCGAAGGCACGAGCCGCCGTTGAAGGCATCATCATAGTGTCGTGTCGCCAAGTCGTGCAGTGGCACTGATGGTTGCAACGATTGCCGCGATAAATTGAAAAATCCCTCCGATTCACTGGCGGCCGCCTCACTGCCATCTTCCACGGCTGCCTTGGGCAGGCCACTTACATAGGTTCGCTTGCCCGAACCCATACAAAAATCCGTATAGAATGCCAATGTATTGTATGGATGCGTTGCCAAATGATCCCATAACAGCCACCAGAATTTCTCATTTCTCAGTAGAAACGTCTCGTTTACAGCATCATCGCCCGTCTCCTGTTTTATATTATAGCCGAACTGTTGCAACGTTTCATATGTCCAGGCTGGGGCAAAGATGCCAACGGAAAAGCGATTTTTGGCAATGCGTGCCAAGGTTCGTTTACTTTGAAATTTCGCAATTTGATTTCGGCCAAATACATCAATGCCAAAGAAAACACTTTGGCTGTGAGCCCGTTCCTGTTCGCACAGTGAGCGTGTCTGTTCAAGGCTCTTGTCGTCCCAGCTGTAATTTATGAGCGTGGCATGGGTTGACCTAAAGAAACGCACATTCTTGGCATTGAGCTCATTTTGCCATGACAACTGACCAGTTTCGATGACACTGTCATACCAGAAGACAACACCCGCCTCGACATGCTGTTCGACGGCTTCACGTAGTCGATTTAGAAAGTAACTGAAAGAAAGAGAGAGAGAAATATTAATATATGAACGAAATAAAGCAACGAAAGAAAATAAATAAACTTAACATTGATTTTTTTTTTGGAGAAATGAAGGACAACAATCTTTGTGGAAGAGGACTGCTCAAGGACACGTTATGGACAAACGTGTGTATACATATGAGTTTAGAGTTTGAACAGAGCTAAAAATCAAGACATAAACGTTAAATGGTTATAATCTCAGTATACACAGCACCGTCCTGGCACTTGACCCACGTTCGAAGACTCAAAATTTAGATTTTTTATAACCTCAGTCATACGGATGGAGGGGGTATTTATCATTTGATACGGCCAAAACGTGCCTCATTGAAATAAAGAGTTTAGACCCTAGGTCTCTTTGAACCAAATTAGTTTTAGGACATTTGTCTGTCTGGCTGGCTGGTGCGCACGATGACTCTCGAAGGAAGTATCCGATTAAGTCCAAACATGGTACATCGTAACATTATTATCAAACTTAGATCGAGTTCGGAGATGAGCAATATCGGTCCACTCCCTCCTTCTAGTAGCTCCTCCACAAAATGTCAACATTTTCAAAGAAAATAATTTACTGGACAGAAAGAGAAAGGATAGTCCGATTTTGCTCTAACTTTGCAAATCCTAATACTTCCATCAGTGCTAGGTCAGATGCGAAAATGGACAATATCGGCCCACTCCATCAAGTACCTCCCCCCACAAAGGCACGCAATTTTAAATAATTTTAACTCCTCTAAAATGTGATGTAAGATTCCGATTGTCTTCAAATTACACACATCACAATATTTCTATTAACTCTAGGTCTGGTGTGAAGATGCAATATATCGGTCCACTTTTTCTGGTATCTCCCCCACAAAGGGTCAAAATTTTGAATAACAAAAACAATTATAATATCCGAAAAAAGGCATCCGCTTCTCTTCATATTTCACACATCCCATTGTTTCTACTGACACAAGATCTGTTGTGAAGATGGAATATATCGGTCCACACCTTCTGGTATCTCCCCAATAAAGGGCCAATATTTTGAATATTCATGAAGCTCATAAAACCAAATTAACATCGGATTCCATTCAGACTTGTCATATCTCAATATTTTCATCAGCACAAGATCTGTTATGAAGATGGGATACATCTCCCACAAAGGGTCAAGGATTTGACTAACCAAAACGATTATAAATTCCGAAATAAGAGTCCGGTTCTCTTCATATTTCACACATACCATTATTTTACTACCACAAAATCTGCTGTGAAGATGGAATGTATCGGACCAATCCTACTGGTACCTCCCCCACAAGGGGTCAGAATTTTTAATATCAAAGAAGCTCAGAAAACGGGAAATTAACATTCGATCCCATTCAGATTATATTATCCGAAATAAGCGTCCGGTTCTCTTCATATTTCACATATCCCATTACTTCTACTAACTCAAGATCTGCTGTAAAGATGGAGTGTATCGATCCACTCCTTCCGATACCTTCCCTACAAAGGGTCAAAATTTTGAATATCCATGAAGCTCATAAAACGCGACATTAACATCCGATTCCATTCAGATTTGGCATATCTCAATATTTTCATCAACACGAGATCCGTTATAAAGATGAGATACATCGGCCACTCCTTCTGGTACCTCCCACACAAAGGGTCAATGTTTTGAATAAAATTCAAAATAACCTTTTAGTTCTCTTCATATTTCCAACATCCCATTATTTTTATGCTGTGAAGATGTATCGGTCCACTCCTTCTGGTACCTCCTCCCCTATAAAGGGTCAAAATTTTAAATATCCATGAAGCTCTTAAGACACGAAATTAACATCCGATTCCATTCAGACTTGATATATCTCAATATTTTCATCAACACAAGATCTGTTAAAAATGGTAGAGATTGGACCATTTTTTCTGGTACCTCCCCCACAGAAGGTCAACATTTTGAATAATCAAAACGATTATAAAATCCAAAATAAGCATCGGGTTCTTTTCAATTTTCACACATGCCATTATTTATACTACCACAAGATCTACTGTGAAAATGGGATATATCGGCGCACTCCTTCTGGTACTTCCTCCACAAAGGGTTCAAAATTTTGAAAAACAAAACGCTCATTAAACGCAAAATAAGCATCCAACTCTCTTCAAATTTCACACGTCCAAATATTTTCGCTAACGCAAAATATGTTGTGAAGATGATAGATATCTGCCAACCCCTTCTGGTACCTCACCGTTGCTATATCTAAATATTTCTCTTAACCAGAAATGTGATATGAATATGTAATTTATCGAAATGTATGATTTTGTATAAAATTGGATATAAATGTTCGATTTCCTATACCAATATTTATATCCTACACCACAAGGTGGTCAGGGTATTATGTTTTGTGCATTTGTTTGTAACAGGCAAAAGAAACGAGATAGACCCATAGTTCCTTTTGATGATCTGCATAGAATCATATTCTGAGTCGATTTATGCATGTGCGTCCGTCCGTCTGTCCATGTATTTTTGTGAATAAAGTACAGTTCGCATTTATTACCCGATCCAGATGAAATTTTGCCCATAAAAACTTTTAATTTTTATGTGGAGCTCTACTAAATTAGCAAAGTGGTGTAGGGTATCATAGAGTCGGCCCCGCCCGACTTTAAGACTTTCTTTACTGGTTTTATCTGTATTAGAGAAGTGGAATATTTCGGTCCGCTATATCTGGTACCTCACGCATATTTGCACATTTTTCAAAAACTTGCACATATCTCATATAAAGTATAGGAAATAGACGATATGGTCCAAATATGGCACCTTGTAATATTTATATCAGACTTAGGTCAGATACGAATTGGGCTGCTTCGGAACCTCCCCCATATAGGGTCAACAGTTTGAATAATCATAACTCAAGGCTGGGGGTATACATCTGTCGGAAAAAACCGACTGATACTTTTTAACTTCTTTTGACTAAATTTTAAAAATTTTGGTATGAACTTCCAAAACCAATTCGACTGAATATAAGAATGGTATGTATTAAGCAGAACCGAAGATATCATCGTACCTTGAGGACCTCTCCATTTTAATCAGCAGATCTTCGATTTCTTATTCTGAATTATACCGGTCATATAAGGAGGAAAAACCCAACTTTTCGGACTTCACCGGAGGATAAGGTGTTCGGTTGTATCGTGAAGAATGGCGTAATTTATTGTAATGCGTGGAAAATGGTGAGAAAGAAATTGATATACGGGTTTACATTTGGCTAATGACACGTTGAGCTGTTCTATTTAATACTCTTCCCTGGCTAATCCCTTTGCTTCAACCACATCACCCTCCACCACCATATCTTCCACTAAGACAGCTCTTTATTTTTCATGTCAATCTTGTTGGACTATTCGCAAATTAATTTATCTAATTTCGAAAACAAGTAGATTGTAACTTCATTTTGGCCGACCGATTGTCTGCCAACAATTTTTTTCTCTGTCCTCTTTGTTTCCTGGTAAACAAATTTAATTGTCATTTGGGTTTTTTTCTTTCGGCTTCAGTTAAATGGAAATGCTTTTAGTGATGCTTTGTTTGTTTGTCTATTTGTTTGTTTGAGCACACCAAGTAAAAAAATAAATATACCTAATTCAATAAAAAAACACATTTTGTTTGCAATGAAATACTATGTAAACGGGTAAAATCGACAATGTCCATTAATGTTGACAATAAGATATATCGAAAACTGTAGGGATTGGAAAACGTAAAGTCTGTCGAAAAAAATAACAATGAGAAAGGATGCAGAACACAATTACAAATCAAGGCAAAATGCGCCCATGGTGGAGTCCAATGTTAACATTTAATTTCAAATTTTGACGTCCGAACCCTATTGAAATTGGCGAGAATGGGTTGACGTTTGTTCACGTTTGTATATCAGATTTCCGGTTAATTTTGCGCCAAATGGCCAATATCAGTCGAAATAACTAGAATTTTTCCAAACCACAGAATTCAGTCTAGAAGCAAGTACATCAAATTTGAGAAAATCGGTTCAGATATAGCTATAGCTCCCGTATACAGGGTGAGATGAAAAAACTGCAGCCAACTTCAAACTGCCGCCATTTCTAAGCCACTCGTCCGACAGCTGTAAAAATTATTCCAGTTAATGCTCATTATATTGCTTACAAGGGTACAAGAGCATTTTGGTGAGAATTTTCCAGAAAAAAAGTTATTCGTGATGGAATTCAAGCGGGATAGTGTGATTTCTTTATATTTCGCTGGAAACCCACAAGTAGCTATCGTAGGAGCACTCCAGCATTTAAATGTGAACAAATCTTTCGTGATACTGGTAGCGTAGCCCGACGTCAAGGAAGTGGACGGAATAAAACAGTAACATCAGAAGAAATGGTTCGAAAAGTAAAGAAAGACTTGATCGAAACCCGCGTCGCAGTGGCCATATCGCAATATTCCATTCGGAAAATATTGAAAAATGAGCTCGGGGCAAAGCCATTGAAATTCCAAAAAGAAAATAGACTCAAAAGATCTAAAGAGTTGCCTCGCTTGGCCGAAAGTGGTGAAGTGCCGAATTGGTTTTTTTTCCGATGAGAAAACATCCGTTGTCCAGCAGTTTGTAAACAAACAAAATGATCGTGTTTACATACCAAAGAGGTCAGCTGAAAATGTGCACCTTCGGTTGGCCACCAGAACTCAAGCGCCGGTCATGGTGATGATGTGGGCCGCCATAACAGCCGATAGTCGCTCTCCTCTCGTATTAATCGACCGTTGCATCAGAATAAATGCCAAATATTAACGCGAAAATATTCTGGAGGGTGTATTAAAGCCTTGGGCACGCAAACATTTTGGCCGGAGACCTTGGACATCCCAACAGGACTCAGCACGCGCCACCCAAGAATGGTTACAAAATGAGGTTCCTCGCTTCATTTCCAGCGCACAATGACCACCAAAATCTCCGGATATCAATCCGTTGGACTATTGTGTCTGAAGTATTTTGGAAAGCAAGGTTGGCACTAAAAAATA